TCAATTGCTAGGTCTACTGCTAGGGAAGCTGGCTCACTATGATGTGCCTGACAATTTTTCTTAACAGAACATATCTTGCACATTTATAAATCTACCATTTATCTGTGTATTGAATATTGCTGCCATATCTGGTCTGGTGCTTCCATTTCATATCTAGAGATTCTTGGCCAAAGGAAAAAAAAAAAAAAAAAAAAAAAAAATCAAAAGTCACTTCCCATAACAGTTTCTCTTGGCTTCTTCTATAAATATTTTACAGTAATGGTTCAGATGAGCTTTTCATTTTGGTATCTTGACTTCATGAATTTAAGCATTGTACTAGATTGGCAGTTAGGTCTCATAATAACAACAATGAAATAGCTAGTTGTAACCATAAGTTACATGCTGATAGTTTCTTCTGCACTTCTCACTTATGGAACTCTTCAAGGTTCCCACTTTCCTGTAAACTACGATCTTCAAGAATTTAAATGCAATGTCAATCATCATTTTCTATCTCTTTGAATCCTGTTCTTTTGTCATCTGTTCCTTTCACTCTAACCCTTGCATATTGTTTTTATTATCTTATTTGGGGCGAAATGATCAAGGAAAAAAAATAAATAAAAACAAGTGTATTCTCACAATTGACTATTGTAAATGGGATGTACAAATAACTGCATCTGAAGATGCAGGTTAAAACAAAAGTCTTAAATACAAACACATAAAACTAAAGATATTAAGAAAAGAGAGAGTTAAGGTACAGGTTAGAACACAATTGTGATAGAAAGAAACAATTGTTGATACATCATACTTTAACAAAAAAAAATTGGGGGGGGGAGAGAACATAGGTAATCCAATACCAAAATATTGTTTACTCAATTTCCTTCCTTTATAGTTTATAAATACTTTTCCTAAATAAAAGTGGAACCGTTACACAATCTGGAATATTGTAGACAAAGGCCACCTTAAGTACATCAGTATATGTATGGAACATACAGTTTGTTTTAATACACGTTTGGCTATTTATACTAATGTTTTGGCTGAATGTAGCCTGTTGTCGTGATTTGTAATCTCCTCAGAATTATGAAATAAACCCTTTATTAAATCAACAGCTGTAGATAGTTTCCATTCCACTTTCCACGTTTAAAGAATACTTATCTGTCAAAACTTACCAGTCATTTTGTAACCTATTACTTCCTTCCACTGAACCCGAGTATGTGACTTTCTAGCACTACCAGGGAACCAGGTGCTAGAGGCCATGTACCTTGAGAGTATAACAAAGATGAGTATTGTGGTTGTGATGGTTCTTCTTCTTAATAATAATAATAATAATAATAATAATAATATCTCATTGCAAAAATTCTGACATATTTTACTTTTTACAAATATTCAAGTGAATTCTGAACTGTGTCAATAGAAGTCTTGTTTTGGAAGAAGAAAAAAATAAGAACTCAGTAAAAAAAAGCATAGATTTGTTTTTGTTTTTTAAATGAAATCATAAGTGAACTAGTAAGAAACTGATCAATGAAGGAAAGGTTTTTATTTATGCTTTTGTGATCGTTTTTTTTGGGGGGGAATAGTTCTTGGTTTTCAAACCAAACTCAAAACACGAATTTGGAAGACTAAGAGTCAACAAAGTAAAAAATATACCAATCTATATGCCAACGGTGACTGCCTGTACTTTGTGATAAGCCTGAAATTATCAAAACTTTAATTTCTGAAAGTTTAAACAAAAAAAACAAAAAAATTTTTTTTTTTTTTTTAATTAAACTATTTGAATTTTATAAATTTAAAAGGAAAACTGATCTTTTAAACAGTGTTTTATTTTAAATCTCATATTTTCAAGAACGAAGATAAAATTTAATTTTACCAAAATAACTATCGAATCTTTTGCACCTGGCAGTTCGTGGAATAATCATCAAAACAAAACTTAAGTGGGTATCTTGCACATCTATTCATGGACGTACAACTTCTTGCTTGAAGGTTTTTTAGATTTATTTTTTTAACTCAAATTTAGCATGTTTCCTTTCTAGCCAAAACCACATCAAACTTAAAAATAGAGAGATGTTGCAATTACATCATTTGCACCCCCCCCCCTAAAAAAAAAAAAAGAATAATTAGAATTGCCCAAACCTGTTTATGGTCTAGTTCTAGTAAAAGTAAATATACCCTTAATAAAATTTCCAGCCGGATACAGCGATCGGCTTCAAGAAATTATTTTTAATTTAATACACAGCCAATCGAAAGCACTGCTTCATCCTATTCATTCACTCTTCTGTTAAAAATATTCGTGCATTTTTTTCAACCTTCCACTACTCAAAACAATATTTTTTATATATATATATATATATATATATATATATATATATATATATATATATGTGTGTGTGTTTTGTGCACATGTAATTTCGCGTGCTTCAACCATTATTCAAGTCTGTATATTTCTACTACAACTGAACTGGCAAAGCGGAACAACCGCAACCACAATAATTCCCCTTCGTATAGTGCGGGGGTAAATAATAATGAGTCAAACAAAGGTTATTCTCCGTTTTAATTTTCCACAGGCCACGCGTAAAATTTGTTAGATCAGTCAAAAGAAAAAGCAAGTTTAGAGAAGCTTATTATTGATGCACAGAGTTGTATCCGGAAGAAACGTTGGCACGACGCGAAGGAATCTAATCATTAAATGTTAATGGAATGCTATCACCAAACATTAACAATATGCATGTATGCAGACAGCGAAAGGTTGACATCGACAGGTAAGCAACAAGTTATTTCGCATCATTTATAATAAATAACTACACACGTGAAGAATGTAATCGTAGTTATTTAAAAGTAAAATCATTCATCAATTTTTAGGTTTTGAGATTTAGGCATCAAAATCTCTTGTAAATAGAAAAGTACCAAATAAATTTTTAATTAAATGAAAAAAAAAAAAAAAAAAAATTACAAAAACGAACAACTACTTCGTAACACTAGCAATCATTCACTGTAAAAAGGTTATTTTCGATTATTTTTAACTAACACGTGGACAAACACCGCTTTTCCCGTCATTGATGTAAAATTGTTTGTTTTAAAAAAATTAAATAACCAGAAATAAAATCGATTTTTTTTCTTCATTTTTCGATCTGTAAATATTTTCTTTGTGTATGGCTTTTTCTTTTATAAACTAAAGTCAAGTAATAATATCAAGAGTTCTTAAATCCTGATGACCCGATGAGGGAAGATACTTAAAATTAAGCCAGGAAATTGCTCAGATACGTGAGTGTGTGAGGGAGGGAGAGAGAGAGAGCGAGCGAGCGAGCGACATAATGGAATTATTCACACCGACGCTCCAGAAATAAGTAGTCAGGTCTATTTATCTCTTTGGTAGTTGCGATGATCAGTTTGTTGCAACATTCCATTCCATTTTGTGTGGCACCAAGCCAAAAATATATAGACTCTTTTCATTTGTCTTAGAGAGAGGGGTAATCAAAGACAAGGAAGCAACAAGAGAGCATAGTCCAAATTTTAATCTCTCTAAATCAAAGCTAATTTCAATAATTATGTAATAATTTCAAATAAAATTAAATATTTTCCACATGTCTTATAACACTATTAACTTAATGGCATTAAGTTAAAATAGCAAAAGAAAATTAATTAAAATACATTTACAACGAACCTTTTTTTTTTATAACCAGCGAATAAAGCCAGATTTTTCTGAACATTACTTACGGAAACTGACACATGCCCGACTGTAAAAATGGTATTTATTGTAAAATAAATGTAAATTAATATACGCGAGATTATTTTTTTTTTAATTATACACTACTACTTTTCGCATTTAAGATTCTTCGTAAATTAACACAGAGGATTTTGCTGGTATTTAAATTTAATTTAAAAAAAAAAAAATAACGTTGTGCTGAGGTGGCAAAAGTTGGGGAAAATGCACGAATCATAAATACGTAGTAGGTAGACAGATTAATTATTAAAAAAATAGTATAACAAAAAAAAAAAGCTGTAATTAGACTAGAGAGAATTTAATAATTGTAATTTTATTAAAAAAAGTTTACTTAACCGAAATGGTAGCTCTTTTTTCAATTTTCATTCATAAAATTAAAAAAAAAAAAAATTTAAAAGTCATTTTTTTCACTTTTCAGCCTTATCGAAAATTATTGCATTTTATAAAATTAAACTTTTTAGTTTACCTTAAAAGTGTTAACACGAGCAGGCAACAACTAAAAAGAGACAATACTGATGGAAATTGAGATTTTTTCACTTTTACAACCCAACAACAATATTGTTTGTTATTTTAAAAATGGGTGGTTCATTCATCCAGCAAAAAGCTAAACTGAAATTTACAACGTCTTAACTCTAATTCACTATCTCAAATACCCAATTGTTTTTAAAATAAAATGAAATTGTATGATCACTAATCAAGTGTAGACTAGTGTAAATATTTAAAAAATTACAGGTTAACAAGCAATTAAAAAAGTTTATATTCCAGATTATTAGCTTTTCTTCGAGTAAGGAACTAAAAATATTTTTCACCATAACTAAAAGGAAAGCAGTTAATAAAAGAAATAAAAACTTAATAAAACAAAATTTGCCTTTTGCTCAATATTTTGTATCTTTTAGGTTGTGTAAGTCAAAATTCGGTTGTCGTTATTCGATATAAAAATAAAAAAAGAAATATGTCCACGAAAACTTTCAACTAGTTTTTCAAGTTTTACTGTAAGTAAAACTTGATTTTACTCAGTAAAGTCAAAAGAAAATTAAAAAGAAAACGCCCTTGAAAAGTAGAATAAATTTAATATAAATAATTTTAGGATTCGATAACCAAGAAAGTTATATTCCTTATTATTAATTCGATTCAATAAGTTTAGTGGGGAAATAAGAAATGTTTATCTTTTTCAGTTTCAAAACAATGATCTTATTGAATTAAAAGTAAAACCGTAAACGCCAGAGGAAAACAGGAAACAAGAAAATATAAACAAGTGTACGAAATAATGAGAACCAAACAGCCGAAACCAGAAAAACAAACTTACCAGCTCCTTCAAGAGCCTCAGGTGGCACACTAATGGCATAAAAAGTAGCCGACAGATCTTTAGGTACCAAAGATATTTGTGGGTCGCTATGAACGGAGGATAGTCCACCAGTGTCAGCACGAAGTTCATCTTTCTGTGATGACGGAGCTTGACGATTCCTACATTTTAGGTTGTCTCTATTAGACTGTCTGTCGTGCTGGTTAAAGTAGCCCTCAACCTTTCCCGATAATATTTGATTCGTATAATCTCCGTCAGCAGTACATCCATCGTCGCCATAAGCGGGTGTGTTACCACTGGTGATTGAGCTTCTACGAGGATGAAACAACCAGCGCAGTAGCTGCCCTAAGGCGATGAACGGACTTCCGACCCCACGCAGTATCAGCAAGACGGGCCATATAAAAATGACATGAAATATGTGTTTTAGACCCATCGACTTGTCGTCAGGTAACACGTAAAGTTCAAATCAAATACGACAAAATTTACTGAATTTCCCGCTTTGTCTGCCATAGAAGCCAACATGCAACGTTACTGCAGACGTACCGCGGTGCCAATACAACGCCTTAGCCCATTGGTCCTTAACGTCCAGTACAGGCCATTGAATGACAAGATAGTGGATAGACGGGTGTGACTGTAACTTTCAAACGTCTGATGTGAACGTGTGTTCGATTAGTTAAAAGATATACCAAGTAACCAATTGAAATGCATCTATTAAGGTTATGCGCGATCTTTGACCTTTGAAACAGGGTTATGTTGCTATTATGTCATTTCTAACAGAATGTTTCATTAGTGAAGCGGGTAAAATGTAACCAATGAAAAACCAAGTTAGAAAAACCGATATCTTGACCTTTAACCTTCAACATTGTCAGTCTCGTGTACATTTATTATGAGAACGACGGCGCTACGTTTGGATTAGGTAGGATGCTAATTTTTTAAAAATTTCTTTATATATATATATATATATATATATATTACACTTATTGTTATATTTAGCAATTCCTTTAATTCGTAGATGTATGCTCTCTCTACGGATTTTAAAGTTTTATTTTAATATTTTTTTTTTTTTTTTTACTATGATTCGGTGTGTCTTAAAAATAATTTTTAATTTCATTCGTTGAAAGAAAAAGACAAATTAATAAATTGGATTAAAATCACGCTTTTCTGTAAAAGAAAAAAAAATGACTTTCTTTGACATGTCTTGTTCGAAAAATAGCCTGTTTTCAGTCGGGCTTGTTTTGTTTTTAGTAGTAGTTTGTATGTGCGACACCTGGGCAACTCCCCCTTTTCTATTAAAACGTGATGTAGGGTAACAATTTACGTACATTTCTTATTAAATAAAAATAAAAAAACAAAGAAAAAGAAATAGCTTCTTTTGTAGATAATATTTACAACCACCAAGTAATTTTGATAATTTGCGAAAAATGCTTATTTTAAATTTTTCTTACGATTTCGGACGAAGGAGCTTGTAATTTTAGGTTAGATTTTTCTTTATTTTGTCCCGTTCTTGAAGTTCAGTCGACTGTTTGTTGTCATTCATTTGTCATTGTGCAGTTGCGTGTATTCTTTTTTATTTTAATTCTGAAATTTATTAACACATGACACTTCATTTTTATGTGCTGTGGTGATACACTAGGTAGATAGTGCTTTAGCTTTCGTGATTTTTTTTTTTTTTTTAAGATACAGCATTAAAGTTGCGGAATCAAATTCTTATTGACAATTGAAATCTGAAAATTGTAATTAAATCTGAGTTATTTCTGTAATTAATAGTAAAGTGTAGTGAAAGTAAGTAACGAAGCTTATATAATAATTAAAATCTAAGCCGGTTTTCTTTCAATAATTTATTGATTTGACTCTTCCCCCTCTTCGAAGTCTTTGTTCAAATAATTGAAATAATTTAATTTAGCCTTTTAGTTTTTTTTGTCAACAAATAATTTTCTAATTTAATTGACTTCTTATTTTTACTACTAACTAATACATGTAATACTCGCAAATGTTTGGATTATTAAATAAATTCTTAGTTTTTCCAACTGAAATGGGAAGATGTCCGAAGATGCTAGAAGAGAATCATTTTAAAAAAAAAAATATTCGATATTTTTTTCTCTTTTAAAAATTTTTCCGCAAGAAACTTTGTATTTATGGTTCATTTTTTTTAATTTGGTATTTTTACTCCTTTATTTTAACTTAGTGGCCATTTCTTATTTCTCCGTTTTCTTTTACTTGTTTTTTAACTTTTTTTTTTTTGTAATTTAACATGCGTAAAATTTTTTTTTAAAAAGTCATCGGTTTTTTTTTTTTTTTTTTTTTGCAATAATCAATTTTATTTTTATGAATTTCATTTTTTAAATCTCATTTAATTTTAAATTCTGTTTACTTTTGTTAACATTAACAAAGTACCTGATGTTGGCGTCACATTTCGTTTTCTCGAGGTTCTCTGTCAAGTGTCAACTTGCTGTTGTTGCACTCTTGTTTCTTTTGGGGAGCTGGAGATGCAGCTGATGCCTTTTTAGACAGGGAACACAGTGTAACTAACACACGCTAAATTTTTTAGCTAATTACCTTAGGCTAGATCGTTAATTCGTTATCAAATGATTGTCTTATACATTTCAGATATTCCACGAATATTTTTTTTGATCACGGATGTTCTTCTTTAGTGATACTGAGTGATACATTTTTTTTTTTTTTTTTTTTTTTTTTTTAAATTTCAAACTGATATATTAAAAAAAAGTGTTTTTTAAAGGATTAGAAACTAAGTATTTGGACTATCTATGTCCTGTTATGCCTGAAAGAAACAGCAATTTTAACGGATATTCAAAACAAAAACAAAAAAAAAAAAGCTCTGACATAGAACTTGTCAGCCAGAGAGGGAAATCCACATTCTTGAAGGAAAACTCTGATTTCAATCCTCCGCTACCATGTGGCTATAATACCTAACACATGGAAAAGGCCTTTGAGAAGAAAAAAAATCTGGAGCTGTCTTCCCAAAGACAGTCCTGTGTTGCATCCAACCTCATCCTGGCAATTCCTGCTGGAACGACGTCGGTACCAAGCATAATCGGTTCTGGCCCTTTCTTTGGTGGACAATACTGATAGCATAGAGAGGGAAGACATGCTGTATGAGCAACTGTTGATCTCCCATTAAATCCTGCTCAGTACTCAAACGCCATGGAGAGGACACTCAACTCGAGCATTACCTCACTGCAGTGGCAAAAACACAAGCTGAAATCAAAATTTCCTTGGCACAAATCCATTCTCTTGAGATTGACAGTGGAGAGCCTACTTCATTAAATTTACACCCAAATATATTTGGGAAAGGTATGAATCCATCTCCTCTTCCCCAGCTATGGGTTAAGGACTTGTATCTGGAAAAAAACATTATCTCCCAAAAATTGTTAATGTATTCACCCACAAAAAGAATTATTCTTACAATCCAAAATGTGTTTGGGTTTTAAATAACCCACAAAAATGTAGATAAGCCATAAAAACCAAAGCAATCAAGACTGATAGATGTCACCATACATTACTGATCATGCTGCAGCGTTTTTCTTTTTTTTACTTTTTAACAATCTCTGCCATTATGTAAGACTTTTATATTCTGGCATCTCATCTTCAAGGTTGTATGTAACATTAACTAAAGTTGTGTATGACATGCAAATCATATTCATAAAATTATTGTTTTTTTTTTTTTTTTATGGGGAGATAGCCACTGTCAGTCACAAGGATATGGGGAAATTTTCCCATGGAGGCCCTAAAACCTTTACTTCTATTTGATTCCTTTGATTACATTTTGGGATTAACTGGACTCTTTTACAAGTTTTCCCAATATAAATTTTCAACCCAGTCTGCCACTGGGAATAGCTAACTTAGTTGTCAATTGTTGCTAAGAAGAGACAAACAGCTCATTGACATTAGATGTTATGTTGTTGTTGACAATATTTTGCATTTGATACATTTTTTGGTTATATCAGCAGAAACACAAGAATAATTTATTGCTCCTTACTAAGAAAACACACAACTTAAAAAATTAAAAAAAAATTGTTTCTACAACTACTTGCTGATTACCATTTATGACAATCTGTTTTGGGATTGTTTTTATTGTGATCTAATTCAAAGTTCTAACAATTTTTTTCTTTTTATCATAAAGTAATAAAAAAATTCCAAATAATTTATTTTCTACCTGGATGGGGAAATTTGCTTTATAATTTTTTTTTTCTTTTTCTCATATTGTATTTATTTCCAAGGTAAATTTTTTTAATTGACATTTTTATTACAGTTTTTGTTTGTGTAACTTTTGTAACACCAATTAAACAAACTAGTTTAAGTAAATTATTTGTAAGTTGAAGTTTACAAACATAGCAATAAATTTAACGTTAATGTTTGGCATCTTGTTTATTTCAAAAATAATTTTGAAATCTATGAAAATGGAATATGGTTACATTTGATTCTTGGTCAAATACTTTGCAAAAGAATGTCTAAGATATTCAAAGACACATAAATGAAAAATGCTTTTTTTTTTTTTTTTTTTTTTGTATTTATATTGAAGTGAAATAATTCAAAAGAAATGAAAAATATAGAGTTAATCCTAGCTAATTCAAGAGTTTTGTGGCAACTTCATATACTTGATGATGGTAGAGACATGTTAAAGTGCTAATGAATTCTAGTAATACACATAGTGATTTGCAGAGAGTCTCTTTATCCATCTTTTTCTTTGGCTACTTTGGCAAGTTGTAGCTCCTGCTGTTGGGCTTTGTTTCCTTATTTATATTATGCATGCAGACTGAGGTCTAAGTAAATATACTCATGGCAAAATTTAACTGTGAGACTGGGAAATCTGTTTCTTAATGTTATTTTGTTTCATAGACGCTTACTTATTTAGCTAGATGTAGATTAGCTTTGCTTACGTTCTCTAAGTGGTGTAAATTAGGGTTTGCAGCATTGAGTAGAACATGCTAACTATTTTTATTAAAATATTTTTAAAAAAAGGCATGCCATCCTGTGATTTCTGCAAATAATTATATCAATAGCTACTAATTAATGTTTAAATTTTTTCAACAAATTAGAGTGTGCACATTTAAAGTTTGTTCCTTGATTTCCTGAGAATGAATTTAATTTTTTGTGCAAACATTTAGCTTAAGTATGGACTTTTGTGTTGATTTATACCTATGTGGACCCAACAATTGAGTTTAGAATTGAACTGTTGGCCCATGCATGATATGATTATATTAATAAAGGCTTGTAGGTTTGAATTTAGAGTTTTCCTTTTGCTAAACTGGCTGATACTCAAGGTAAGAGAGTTGAGACTTCTCTGCTGTTTAATTCATAGCTGGAGAAAAATGGATTCATACCTTTTCCAAGATCATTAGTGTAAAATGATTGAATGAGGATTGACTGGAATTTGAACTTGGCTTGCCAATTCCCCTTTCTGTGATTGAAGGC